CCCCATCATGTCAGACGCGTCTGTGGACACCAGCTCCGAGATCACCACCAAGGACTTAAAGGAGAAGAAGGAGGTTGTGGAGGAAACAGAAAATATAAGAGACGCACCCGCTAATGGGAATGCTAACGAGGAAAATGAGGAACAGGAGGCTGACAATGAGGTAGACGAGGAAGAAGGTGATGGTGAGGAAGAAGATGTAGATGAAGATGAGGAGACTGAAGCTGCTACGGGCAAACGGGCAGCTGAAGATGATGAGGATGATGATGTTGACACCAAAAAGCACAAGACCAACAAGAATGACTAGACAGCAAAAAAGGAAAAGTTAAATTTAAAAAGGCCACGGTGACCTATTCACCCTCAACTTCCCATCTTCGACTCTAAACGTGGTCACCTTCGAGTAGAGAGTCCCACCTGCCCACTTTGGGCAGCTCCACTAGCAGATAACAAGAGCTCACCACCACCCAACCAAAACCACAATGTGAATTTGCAACAGGGGAGAATAAAGAACCAAAACTTCCAAGGCCTTGCTTTTTTTCTTAAAAGTACTTTAAAAGGAAAATTTGTATTTTTTATTTACATTTTATATTTTTGTACATCTTGTTAGGGGTCAGCCATTTTTAATGATCTCAGATGACCAAACCAGCCTTCGGAGCGTTGTCTGCTGTAATTCTGACTTTACTTATGGTGTGACCATTTTCATTATAATCTCAAATGAGGGGGGAAAAAACCTTGCGAAAAAAGCAAAAACAACAACAAAAAAAATTACAATCTTATTCCTAGCTTTCTAGTAACTTTTTTGTGTATGTACTTAGCTGTGTTGTAATTGGTTTGTATGAAATGGTTAAAAAAGGCCAAAGATAAAGTTTCTTTTCCTTTTTTTGTATATGAAGTTGCTGTTTATTTATTTTGCTGATTTGATGTATGTGTGAAACAATCTTGTCCAACAATAACCCAGAATTTTATTTTGCTGAGTTGTTTTAACAACAACAAAAAAAGCAATGGTATATATAATTTTGTTATTTAACCTCAGATCATCATTTTAAATCACTCATTCCTTAATTAATTCACCAAATATTTCTTAAATACTTACTATGTGCTAGACAGTGGAAGAATAATTATAATAGATCTTTATTATAATTAGGAAAATGTTGCAAGATTTCATTTAGTAGAACATGGGCTTAGAAGTCAGATGGGCTTGTTTTAAGTATTGACCCCATCTCTTACCAATTCTGTCAG